GGGGGGGGGGGGGGTGTTTATGGTATAGGCGGGTGAATATTCATGCTGGGTTTTTAAAAAAGAGAGAAAAGAGAAAAAAAAGGAAGAAGAGGGGGCTGGGAGATGGAGGGAGCACGGGATTGGCTGCCGCTCCCCGCCCCCTCACACCTCACACCAAGCCTGTCAGCCGGCCAATCAGGAGCCTCTGCACCGTTTGAAAGATGCCAGAGAGGAGGAGGAGAGGAGGAGGAGGAGGAGGAGAGGAGGAGGAGGAGAGGAGGGCGGGTTTGAAGGAGAGAGGGAAGAAGAAAAGAGGAGTGTGAGATGATGAATGTGCAGCTGGTGTGGATGTGCAGCGGCTGCACTTTGTGAAAACACAAACACGTTTTTTCTGAATTCGCTCCTTTTCACTGCGACGCCGCGTGACGTCACCGCCCCACATCCGTCTGTTTCCTGTCGGAGCTGCCGAATGACAGAAGAAGAAGAAGATCTCTCACTCCAATCTGATTTTTAAAACTAAAGGGGGTTTAAATCCCCCCCCCCCCCCCCAGCTGTGAAACACACTTCTCCTCATCAATCACGTCACCAATTAAAGGTGATATCAGTGAAATCTGACTCTTTATTAACATCTGGTGGCGGATGTGAGGAACTGCCCCCCCCCCCCAAACTAATGCTGTTTCCATTCAAATCACAAACTTAACTCACGTTACGTGACTTGGACATAAAGGAAAAAGCCTCAGTGCACAGAGGAAGATAACACACACACACACACACACACACACACACACACGCAGAGTGCAGGTGCAGGGATCACAGACAGACAGTCTCTACGTCAGTGTGTTAGTGTGGAAGATCTACAGAGACTTTATCTAACTGTCCTCTCGTGTCCTTCCCGCCGTGTCCAGGCTGCGTCTCTCCCTCAGCAGCGAAATGCTGTTTTCACCGTGACCTCGTTTTGTTTTTTTGCTGCTCCAGCTCGTCAGCGCCTTTTAATCTTCCGCCGGCTTGATCTGCACTGCATGATGGCAAACTTGCTATTAAGAGCGAGGAGAGGGGGGGGGGGGGGGGGGGCTGCAGCTTTAGTGAGTGAGATCACACACACATGCTAACACATGCTCACGAGTCCACCTCTCCCTCCCCTTCTTCTCTCCCTCCCTCTCCTCTC